ACCACAATACTGTATTTTCTTCCACTAACATTGACAAATGAACATACAGGCCAACGAACATTTAGGTTTGAAGCCTAGTAGAAATTTAAGAAAGTCTCCTTCCCTCTGACCCCTGTGGCAAGACTTCCCAATTGAAGAAAGTTGCTCTAAAACCCTTCGCCAGTCCCATGGTAGGTCACTTTGAGAATTTTAGGGTTTTGTATATAAATTATTCCTTTGATGAAAGACTCAAAGTAAATAAATATATGTGACTGACTTTCAGTGGCTTTATTTTGCCAAATTGATACCTCCTTTGCAAGCCAAACTATTCCCACTGATTTTACTTCATTGGTTTCCTACTCAACAACAGAAGCTCTCCCATTTCAATAAAAACATCCAAGTGTAAATATGAACAACGTTAATGTCTTTCACAAATAGAAAGACACTAATCTCAGGACTGCCTTCCAGGATGGACTTGTTAAATGTATGAGGTATTAATCCTAATTATTCATTTTAGAGTTTAATTGCTATTATTCAAATGGAGCTGTTACATAATCACAAACTTAGTTTGTGATAATTCCACTTGGTAATATATTTAAGTCAGAGATAGAAAAGAAGGGGCCTGTTTTGCAATGTCAACAGGGATAAAAGGAGTATGTTTGTCTATTTAGGAGAAATATTTTAATGTACTTCTTATGATATGATCACATAGTAAGTCAAGTTCCAAACTCCTAAATCCAGTGTTTTATATGCGAGTTACAAATTCTTTTTTTTTTTTTTTTTTTTTTTTAAATATGGAACACTTCACGAATTTGTGTGTCATCCTTGCACAGGGGCCATGCTAATCTTCTCCGTATTGTTCCAATTTTAGTATATGTGCTGCCAAAGCACTCACCAAATTCTTCTTTCGTTAGTTTCATTTATTCATTAAAACTCTAATAGGTTCAATTCTTTCCTGCTCTAGTCCCATTCCAGCTGCCCCCAAATAGGCTTTACACTTCTTCACTAAGGATGGGGATTTGAAACTATTCTCATACTCTAGGTAACTACTGGAGTTTAATATTTTTTTTGGAACTGAACTAGAAACTGGTCTTAGAACTTAAATTATAATTGTTTGTTGCTATTTCTACTCAGAGAAGGCAGCTACTCTTCACTAACAAAGGGGATGGCCAGAATCATGCTGAAATATGGCCCAATCGCAGTAGGAAACCAATGCCGATATTTAGGAAATACTTGAGTAGTCTGATCCAAAAGATCCGACTATGTACCAAAAGATACATCCTATCTCTTTTTTAAAAGTTTGATAATTTGAATTATTCCTAGAGAGATATTCCTAGGGAGACTGGACATATTTCAACCTGTTGAATGGGAAAAAGAGTATTTGGGATTAGCTGGAATGGTCTCTCTGAATAGAGGGATGACATGTATCAAACTCAAATATATCTAACACTTTTTCTAAGTCCTATCTTTCTTAAGTCAGATAAAAAAATTAAAATTTTCCAGAGGCCTAAAGTTGGAATCTCAGATTCATTATATTTTTTAAAATTTTTTGATTGATTTCAGAGAAGAAGGAGAGGAAGAGAGAGATACAAACACCAATGATGATAGAGACTGCACGTCCCCTTCTGGAGATCAGGCCTGCAACTCGGGCATGTGCCCCGACTGGGAATCAAACTGTGACCTCCTGGTTTACAGGTCTACGTTCAACCACCAAGCCACGCCGGCTGAGCCTCAGATTCATTCTTGATTCCTCCAGCTCTTTTCTACCCCTAATTTGGTTAACCGAGACCTAGCAAACATAACTATGAAATGCTGCTTCCTTTCCAACTAGTTTTCAAAAGTTTCAGTTAAGAAAACTAAAGGTCCAGCCACTAGAATACAGTAAATGCCACTGCTCTTGAATATGTCCACAAACTGTCTCCTTTGGGCTACTGTAATAGCCAACCAACTGATATCCTGCATCCAGTTCTGTTGCCCTTGTTCGTCTTTTGAGTGTTAGTATGTTTGGAGTTCTGTTGTTTCCCCTCTCAATCTCTCATTCTGTACTTCCGCCCGGGAAAGTTGATAAAGGCACTGTGGATTCAAGTGCCCTTAATATGATGATAATCCTGCAATTTTTATCTCTAGCCTAGATCATTATCTTAGGCTTCAAACCTGTATATTCACTGGTCTAAGAGATATCTCTTGGAGGTCCCACAGAAACCTCACCTGTTCACCTCAATCCTAGTCCTCATTTGTGGTCCCAGTCTCAGAAAATGAAACCTCCACCTGCCCAGGTGAGAGCCAGAAACCAGATACTATTCTTGGGTTCTTTCACTCATAATCTCGCATTTATTTGTCACTCATATCTGTTCATCCTCTCCATACTCACTGACCCGATCAGTCCAGGCCATCATTAAATTTCCCCTGGATTACTGTACCAGACTCCTAAATAGTCTCCCTACCCTCAGGCTTGTCCCACTGCAATCCTGACTACACACTGCAACCGGTGTGATTTTTCAAAAATTGCAAATATGGACAAGCTTCTCTCCTGCTTAAAATCCTTCAATAGCTTACTGCTGCCCTTAAGATCAAGATACAAATGCAAAACTGATCTCTAGAAGGCTCCTCAAGGTTCCTATGGAGACTCATCACTAGCCACTGCCCCTTTAGCTAATTAAGCTCTGGTTTTACATTTGGTCTCTCGGCTTTCCACTCTGGGTCTTTGAAATTCTTTTTCCTCTTCCTGGAATATTCTTTCTCTCTGTCCCTGCCTCCTTTGCCAAACTCATCTTTAGATGCCAATTGGATTTCATTTACTATTTCCCTGAAATGCCCCTCCCAAGATTGCTCCCAAGATTGGGTTTGGCGGCCTTCTGATTTGCTCTAAGAGAACACTCTATTCATTTTATATGGACATGTTGTTTCTATACTCTAATTGCGCTCTCTCTCTCTCTCTCTCTCTCTCTCTCTCTCTCTCTAACCATACCATTGGTTTTTTGAGGGTAAGGGCTTTGTATGTAATTGTATCATAGGTGCCTAACAAAGCCTGATTGCAGTCTATAGTTTGAATTCAGGTCCTTCTACAACAGTGGTTCTCAACCCCCTGGCCCTTTAAATACAGTTCCTCATGTTGTGACCCAACCATAAGATTATTTTCATTGCTACTTCATAACTGTAATGTTGCTACTGTTATGAATCATAATGTAAATATCTGATATGCAGGATGGTCTTAGGCGACCCCTGTGAAAGGGTCGTTCGACTGCCAAAGGGGTCGTGACCCACAGGCTGAGAACCGCTGTTCTAAAAGATGTCTGGCAGCTCTTCCAGGCCTACTGAATAAAGACTCCCGTTTTAATGTGGTAGATAAGGCCCCTCTCAATGTGCTGGAAGATATCTTCCCAACTTCATGTCCAGGAACTCCTGCCTATGCTCCCTCTACTTTCCGAGTATATTACTCTGAACACCTCCGCACAGGGTCATTCTGATGCCTCCACACACTTTTGCTTATACTGTTCCCACTTTCTGGAATATCACTCCTCTGCTTGTTTCCTGAATAACTTTTTCCAAACCCTTCTTAGCTCCAATTCAGGCAGACTTAATAGCTCTCTTCTAGGTCATCACGGAACGTTAAATTTTCCTCTGTTACAGCACTTATCTTGCTATATTACAGTTATTTCTCTTTAATGCCTCCCTGGCCAGACAATGAACTTCAGGAAGATACATATTATGTATACTCATTTTTAGATGCCTGCCACAGTGCCTGGCTTCTAATAGGATTTAACTATTTATCACATTAAAATAATTAAAGCACATGTACTGTTTCAACTACTCTTATCAAGATTAAGGCAGAAGACAGGTAAGGGGAGAATAAGTTATTCTACAAAAAGTAAAAGTGAAAATGTATAGTTTTATATACTTTGTTTAACCCTAGGAAGAATTTGGCTTCCTTCCCAACCTACCCCCTTATGTATCCTTGGCAAGAGAAATAAGAGCACGAGGGAAAAAAAATGAGCTAGAAATGTTTTATGAGTAATGCTCTACTAAAACTTTAAAAGGAAAATTTAATGACAAAAGTCCAGAAAGCCTTGATTTGAATCCCAGCCCCATTACATTCTGACCTTGAGCAAACTACTATATCTACCAAGCCTTGGCTTATCCATCTGTGCAATGGCAATGATAATAATATATCTTCACATCTAGGGTTATTGTAAGGATTAAGAGTTTATATATGTAAAATATTTAGAACAAAGCATGGCATATAGTAAGCAGTTATTGTGTTAGATATTGTTATTATTACATTAATTCCTATAATGCCTTCAACTCTAGTTTTTAACTCCTAAATTCTTCCTAATTTTCTCAAAGGGTGGTATAAAATTAACCCGGTAGTAAAATAAATGAGTTTCAAAATCTTTGTTGGTTTGGGTTAGAAAACTGTCAAATTTAAGATGTGGATGCCATAAAATTAAAAAGGGATGTATTGTAATTCTTAAATCACTATTATCATTGCTAAAATAAGAGTTATTAAAATTTTACAATACTAACATGTGATGTAATGATATTAATAAAAATTCCAGCTTAAAAGCCACAAAAATGATTTTCAAATATTTTGATAGATAACCTATAATCTTGATAAGTAAATAGTTATGATTAGCCATATTTTTTTTAAAGTACAGCCAAATCTTGATTACCTTTAGTCTCTGGAGACATTGATAACTTAGATATTTAAAATCCATTTCAGAACTTCATCTTTAGCCTCTTCTCCTATCAAACCTTTACCATGGTTCACTTAATGGGCTAATTTGCATTTCGACTCCTTTTTTTCTTCTTGAACAATGAAATAGCAAAATAAATAAATGAATAAAGTTTTGACAATAATATAGGAAGGAAGGGCTAAATGTCTTTGAATAATCAAGAGTTGGCTGCACAGCATTATGTTTATCTTAAGAATAAAAATAGTCTCACTCTCCTTCATATCTTTAAATAAAATCAAACAGGAGTTCCTATGCCTTAACATTCCTAGTCAGAGTTTCTCTGAGTACCTGAAAGAACCCTGGTGGTACAGGACCTACTGGCATGCCATCTCCTGGGGGAATGTTTCCTAGCACTGGACTGGGAGCTGCTGCAGCACTCTGCAAAGAATAAAGGAGAAACAAACCTATATCATTACAGAGAAGGCACAAAACCAAAGACTAATGATAATAGACTGTAGGAGGGGAAGCTTTTCATCCTGGGAACAAATATTGGTAATTTCCCCCTCTACAGAGGTAAACTAAGATACAACAGTTAGTTTAGTATATGATTAAGTTATTTGGTTTAAACAGGTCTCTTTAAATTTTCTGAAGTCACAGAACTTTAATAAGATGTTATATTTGAATGACATATAAAAAACAAATAATATAACAAAATGATAAAAGTTTAAACAAATGCTTTAAGGCACAGGCATCTGAAATGGCAACATCGTAACAATAGGTAAATATGTAAGCAATAAGTTTGAAAATGGTAGTTGTAGGAGTTGGAAAACAGAACTATCTTTTTAGATTACGCTTTTCTGTATGTCATAAATAAATTAAGTTTCTGCCTATAGGTGGCAACACATTATTTATTATCTTTCTGATAGACTACAATTGGTAGCTAAAACATAATTGATAGCAAAAATAACATAGTGAGTGTAAAAAAATAATTAGGAGACTTAAGAGAAAGGAATTAGATTTGGAGTGAAGAGTCTCATATAAACAAATTATTTAAAAAACAGGTTGAAAAATTCAAAGTCTATTTCACTTGCAAATTATTTCATCAAATCCTAGGGCTTCATGACAAAAAAGTACAAAAACCTTTGGGTTTAGACTTTGTAATCAAATCAAGGTTTTAGATTTAATTCTTACACAGAGCAGTAATATATACAAGTGCTCTACAATCATGGATTTCATCTCTCAACCTGGGTGGGCACATTACAAATACTGAGAACAGTCAAGAAGGAACCAAAAATATGCTAAAGACAGATTTTTACACATCCAACTGTTCTCTATGAAAGGAACTCAAAACAAACACTGGATCTAGTGGATCTGCGGCACTACCCTCACCTATTCATTCATGTACTAATATCCCAATAGAAGATGTAATATCTCAATATATTTGTAACATATATCTCCCAGTATATAAACTGATAAAAATAATAATGTTTATTCTATAGCACTGGCAGTTATTAATAATGAAGGCCAATGATTTTAATATTTCCTGAGAAAATCTAGGTGTCAATGTGGCTATCTAAAATGCTGCTTATCTACCAATGCTAAAATTCTAAACATCTGATAAAGCATATAACTATAAAAGAAATAATATTTCTTAAACATTAATATATTATTCTACTTTAAGCAAAAGCATGCAATTTAATGTAGGGTACATTAATTGAATACCTACCATTTGCCAGATATTGTTCTATATCACCTTATATGTCAACCCTCACGTTTTTTAAAAAGTGAAAGGCAAATTTCTTTTTTTCATTTTAACTAAACTTGCTTAAAGACTAAATATAGAATGTTAGAGTATAGGAAATTTTACCACCTAACATATATTCTCTTTTAGTCTAAATGTATATGACTAAGGCAGATCTGGGAAGAAAGATTTGATTTGCATCCTTTGGCAGTCAGGGGAAGCTGCTCTTAGTACTAAAAGCTAGACATTGGATGTCATTATTGTTCTAATTAATTGCAGAACAAAAACCTGTTTTTGCAATACAAAAGACAGATTTGTAAACCTCACTCACCTATCTATATATATATAAAAGCCTAAGCAACCATCCAACCATCCAACCGTTTGACCAGTAGCTATGACGCGCACTGACCACCAGGGGGCAGATGCTCAACACACAGGCATGGAAACATGGAACAGACTGATAAATCTCAGAGGGAAGCAGGGAGAAGGGAGGGCGGGAAGAGATTAACCAAAAATCTTATATGCATACTAGAGGCCCAGTGCACAGATTCATGCACCGGTGGGGTCTCTCAGCCTGGCCTGCAGGGATTGGGCTGAAACTGGCAGTCTGACATTTCCTGAGGGGTCCTGGATTGTCAGAGGGCACAGGCCAGGCCGAGGGACCCACTGGTGTACAAATCCGTGCACCAGGCCTCTAATACTTGTACAGAAATGCATACTATAATGTTGATCAGGTTTATAAAACCAAAACAGAATTCAGTGAATTACTGCAACTTCCTAGTGTAGTTCAAAAATGAGATTTCTCCCTTAATTCTAGTTGCCTAGAAAGTATATAAAAGAAGATTTTGCCTACCCAAAGGAAATAAAAATGTTTGTTTGCAACTAAACTAAAATTCAAGAAGTAAAGATGCTGGGTCATCATTGGCTCCTTTACTTTTCTGGGGGACTACATAGTTTAAAGGTACTTAATATGCTAATTTTTTCTTTCGAGTTCTTTATAGTACATGTTTCTTATGTTTTTTCCAGGTACTATTTAAAAGTGAGACATAATTGTCAGATGAAGAATTAAGCAATGTAAGTCATTAAAATGACTTTAAATTTTAATTTCATGACTTCAAAATTATTTAATAAATTCAATTAAAATATATTGTCAAGGACTCTTTTAATCTGTGCAATATAGCAGTTAACATCCTTGCCCTTTATTTTTGCTTTTACAAAACTAAATATACATATTTTTATTGTTGAGGGTATTACACATGTCCCCCATTTTTCCCCACCTTTGTTCCACTCTGCCCAGCCCCTCCCCTCCCCCAGGCCTTCACCACACTATTGTCTGTGTCCATGCACTATGCATATAAGCATATCGGTTCTTTGGTTTATCTCTTCACTGTTCACCCCCCTCCCCACCAGAGATATGTCCATCTGTTCCATGCCTCTGAAACATATAAAGTGGTTAAGAATTGGTGATCTGAATATTACAGATGATGTTTGCCATGCAGAAGAAAAAAAGAGTGCTGTGATTCGCTGGTAATTTCTACAAAATGCCAACTTTTTCATATGAAAGCCAAGAAGCATGGGAAATTACAGAAAACAAAAGGGAAGCAGCTACTGATGCTAAAAAATGTTTTAAGTACAAGAGAAATGCAAAAAGACCCTGATAAACGCAGTGATGATTTCATTCCTAAGAATACTTTAGGAGGCAGCCTTTGATTCAGTTGTTAGTTTTCAGGACAGCAGCCATATTTCCTGGTTCCTTGAATTCTATACTCGGCTTTAATCAGAAATAATAGATTATAAGAAAAAGGGCTGACATAAGGGACTTGTTTGGAGACCATTACATTCTAAATGATATCTTCATATCTGTACATGTATCCCAAATATTATGTGCCTAGCCATTTGATCACACAAAATTTTGAACTTGGTGTAAATAATCCCCAAAGTGATGATTATAAACTATTAAGAAAACTCATATTAATAGCATATAAAAGTTTCTGTTTAAAAATGAAATGAAATGGGGATATTTATGATACCATTATCATCATTCATATATTGTATTTATAAATTCAGCCTTCAAGAAGCATTTATTGTCTTCATATGAACTTCTGATATTGTGTAAATTGTTATTAGAGCAATAAGCCTGTGTTATGGCCACATGACCACACCATAGGCCAATCTGTGAGAGCTTTTCCATTAAACATCCCTCCTCCCACCCACAATCTAACATTTTGGTCAAACACTTAATAAAGTGACCTTTAACAATATTTCAAAATACCATAGTTTAAAGAGAAACACAAGGAAAAAGTGTTAGGCATATTAACGTTGTACTCTTTTTCTCAAGTTTGTAACTATTACTGTTATTGTCCCTGTTTTTTCTTTTTAACTCAAAGATGGAAGACTTCGTCTTTTTTCTACACTATTGATTCAATGTAAAAAATCCCTGTGCTTCTATTTGAGAGTCTAAGTATTTTACTCTGACTGGAACTTTACAGGAGAAATTGGATGAGTCACCTTTTGAGAAAAAAAAAAATTCCCCTCTGTGGTAGGCAGAACAGCCACCCAAAGATATCCATGCATACCCCAGGGCCTGTGAATGTGGCAGCCTCTATAAGCCGAGAGCAGCCCCAGGCTGACTCCTAAAACCCCAAGGAACTGAATGCTACCAACAAACTACATGAACTTGAAAGTGGATTCTTCCCAGAGCCTCCTGATAAGAACCCAGCTGGCTTACACCCCTTGATTTCAGCCTTGCAAGATCTAGAGTGGAGAAACGAGCCCATTTATATCAGACTCTGACCTACAGAACCGAGAGATAATATATTTACAGTGCTTTAAGCTGCTAACCTTGTGGCAATTTATGTCAGCAGTATAAAACAAATACACCCCTCCCCCAAAATGACTATTTCATTTTTAAGGGCATCTAGAAACTAGGGAATTCTATGGCTCCTTAGCGGTAACTGTACTTGACCTGTTGCACAGTATGCATTTGCTAGTACTCCCATTTTTATCACATCAAGTGTCCATCAGATTAAAAATAAAAATACCTCCTAGGTTTAACACAGCTTGGTCCTATGGTTTACCTGGTCTCACAGTTCTAGTGGCTTTTAATTGTGTCCTATGTGAATCAGTTCCCCCCCTTCAGTAGTGAAGAGTGGGGGAGCACAGTGAGAAGAAGGGCACATGCAGCATCTCTTCAGTAACAATTGCCTGCCAGACCTCTAACTCTGCTTTTCTCTTATTCATAAAGGAATCGCTCCTTAACTATTAACAGAAGGTTCTACCAAAACCATCTAGACTCTAGCCACGCTCATTTCTAGGGTAGGGAAAATATAAAAACAACTGAAACCATAGTTTGAAGATTACCACCATGTAAACTCTGCTAACGGTCCCTGTTTTGACCCTGTACACTGATTCAAAATTACTGAATGCAGCCTCAATCCTTGTGCCAAAGAGGGTTCATTTCTTTCTTCCATTTGCTGGGCTTCCAGCCCCAGTTCCCACCTAACTAGCACCTCGATGTCTCAGAGACCAAAGCCAACATTCTACTGAGTTCTTTCCTCATATTACTTCTGAGGGGATCTGTTCTAAGGGACTTCCATTTCCATGGCTGAATCCTCAGTACTTGATGTTGGGTTCCCTCGTTGCCAGTAGTTCCCCTGCCTAGATCTCCACTTATTATTTCTTACCATGCTGCCCTTGG